TTTATACAAACTGTTAAAGTTAAAACACTCATTTTAGCAGACTATTAATGTATTTGGATGGTCTGACCATGCTAAAATACAAACATTATCAAAGAATCATGGAATGGTTTGGGTTGGAAGGGACCTTAAAGGTCATTTTCCACCCCCTGCCATGGGCAGGGACACCTTCCACTAGCCCAGGTTGCTCCAACCTGGCCTTGGACACTTCCAGGGATCCAGGGGCATCCAAAACTTCTCTGGGCAACCTGTGCCAGGGTCTCCCCACCCTCAGAGCCAGGAATGATTTTAAATTTGTTCTTTAAAAAATAGGGTTTAAACAGAAAGTAAGGGAGATCACCGAGGTGCCCGGAATGACTGAGCACAGGGCCCAGTGTTTACACAGAATTAAAACATCACAAGGATTTGAAAAACAAATTAAAAAATCACCCAGCACATAACAGAGTTTGTCAACCTCAGCTTGTTTGCTTCTGCCTCTGGAGTGCCATTCCAATCTCCTTCAATTAAACCCTATTTTTACTTAACCCAGACCTGCATTAGCAGCATCTGTATTTCAATAAAACAAGAGTTTTAAAATAAAATGAGTCCTAATGTCCACCTGCCAAAATTAGAGCCGTAGTTTAATTTTTCAAAGTCCAACAATATGAAGCCAGAAAAGTAAAAGGGCACTGATGATGTAAAGGATTTTCTTTTTTTTAAACTGTTTGGAAATTGTTTATTCTAAGCTGACATTTTATTTAAATATCCTATTCAGCAATTATGAAAGCAACCTCATTCCACATTTCACTTCCACTAAAATTCACCAGTTTTGTGCCAAACTCTTCCCAACAACAGCACTTTGTCCTTCTTAAATATTGGGGAAAGGGGATCCAAATAGCATTTCATAGAGAATATATCACATGCTGGCTTAATCATGTACAAATCAAATTTTCTGCCAACTAAAATATTGAAACGGGATAGAAGATACAGAATAAAACTGAAATTTATATCTAATGAATTTATTTTTTAAAGAAATGCTCGTGAAGCCATTGCAGCCAATTAGAGCGGGCAGAAAGACTGGAAATAGAAATATTTCTGTATTAATCTCCAGCCTTGTGAGTGGAATGTCTGTGCAATGGGACTCTTGTATCACTTTACCAGACACAGCCTCGAAAACAAGGGTTTCATCCTAAAATCCACAATCCCAGGGGTGCCCTGAGGAAAGGAGACACAGAGAGAGGCAAGATCAACCTGTTCAGGTGGCATCAGGATAAATACCTGGGAAGAAAAGGGCTCTGAAAGTTGCAAAAAGAATTTCCTTACAAAGAAAAAAAAAAAAAGCCAAGGTTCTAATCTTTTTTAATTTAGAAGAACTGTAGTTTGAAAGCGAAAAAGACTTCCTCTCCTTTTTCTCCTGGACTCTTTGTGGAAGAAAAGGAGAGACTTATCTAATGTAGTGGCAAGAGGACTTTTCTTCTTTTTCTTCTTGGACTCTTGTTGAAGGAAAAAGAGAAATTTAATCTAATGTAAATATATTATTTCACTGTAGAAGTGATAGCTAAGTTGTTACCTATATGTACATGTATGCAAACAAACCTTGTATTTTCCCTTTCCCCCAATGCTGAGTAGTTGTGTTTTGTCTGAAAACCCTCCTCACAATGGGGTAAATTGTGGGAAGGGGGCTTGAACTTGGAAATTTAGATTTCTGAGGGTCTCAAACCACCACATCGAGCCTTTAAAATCAGATGACACTGAAACAAATTTTTAATTGACAACGAAGTGGATGCCACTTAATTTTTGGGGTACCTCCAGGTGAATTCCCAGTTTGTTGTTACCTCAGGACACCCAAATCCAGGCCAGGGATAGTACAGTTAATACTCAAACCACCCCGACCTGCCATCTGGAGAGCTAATGAACAATCAAGGGCTCCCAAATTAAACGACAGAATTTTTTCCCTTAGAATCTTTAGGACAACACTGTCAAGTCCAATCTATTCCCTGGGCCTCCAGAATCAATTTTTCAAACTTTATGACAGGTCTAATAGTTCCCACCTGTTTCTCCTGCTTGACTTTTGACTGGCACGTTACCAGCCAGGGTGGAAACGCAGACAAAGACCCCTATTAGGCTCCGGCTGTTTCTCTACTGTGAGGTTGCTCAGCCATAAAATTAGTTCCAGCCCCCTTTTCTCCTTCCCTCTCTTCATATTTTTTTTTTTGGGGGGGAGTGGGCACGAAGGTTTTTGGGGGAGTGGGAAGGGAGGCAGGAGTTTGGCACCCGCTCGGTGGAAGGAAAATCCACCGAATTTTTTTTAATCACGTTTAATGCCGAATTTTTTTATCGTCCACTAAACAATTTCTCAGCTAAATTTATGACAAATCACATTCATTAAGTTCTTGAGGTGTCTCTCTATCATATTTTTAACCCTCAAAACTTGGCAAAATTTGAGAGTCTATCATGCAACATATGATTACATTAAGGCAGTGCTGCAATTTTTGGGAGGGAATTGTGAAGAATCGATGGGTAACTAGTTTTTATTCAAGCAAACAATATCTTTTTTCCCTAGGATACGTTTTCCTTTCACTCAGAACTGCCAGTTAGACACAAGTGTCATGCACACATCCTAACAAATTCAGAGGGGTTCATTTGGAAGCACCTTAAAAACCTGACCACTTTTTGCTTTAATGAAAATTATCTGGAAGTACCTTAAAAACCTGACAACTTTTTTTTCTGAATAAAAATTATCCANTTTGGCACCCGCTTGGTGGAAGGAAAATCCACCCAATATTTTTTATCACGTTTAATGCCGAATTTTTTTATCGTCCACTAAACAATTTCTCAGCTAAATTTATGACAAATCACATTCACTAAGTTCTCTCTATCATATTTTTAACCCTCAAAACTTGGCCAAATTTGAGAGTCTGTCATGCAACATATGATTATATAAAGGAAGTGCTGCAATTTTTTGGGGGGAATTGCGAAGGATCGATGGGTAACTTGAGTTTTTACTCAAGCAAACAATATCTTTTTTTCCAGGAATACATTTTCCTTTCACTCAGAACTGCCAGTTAGACACAAGTGTCATGCACACATCCTAACAAATTCAGAGGGGTTCATTTGGAAGCACCTTAAAAACCTGACCACTTTTTGCTTTAATGAAAATTATCTGGAAGTACCTTAAAAACCTGACAACTTTTTTTTCTGAATAAAAATTATCCAATAGGTCTCTGCATCGATTTCTAGTGAAATGTTATCATCTAAGATATTCGTATTTATGAAATATTTATGAAGTATTATCATCTAAGACTCAAGGGTCTTCACTGACCTGCAAATCACATGGATTCCATTATTCTGTTATTCATGACAACCAAGTATTTACAATAACATCGACCACGATACTTAAGACAAAAACCTTAACTTATTAAAACAAAGGTCTTTCTGTAAGATAAATTTAATATAAATTATTAGTAAATTAATAATTTTAATTCCAATTATAATCTGCCTGGGACCATCTTCCCAGTATAAACTACTTAGAGCCAGGACTTCTGGTTTCCAGCTTTCCTGAAAACCAACTATTCAAGCCTCACCACGATGGGGAAAATCTTGAAGACCTACATCTGTAAGCACTTCGTTATATTTGGAAAACTTAATGCAAAAAAGTAACCTTTAAATACGTGAGAGTAAAGGTTCTGCAGTCACTGAAAAACCAAGACCACTTCTCTTGCTTTCCTTGGTAATTAATTGCACATAAATTGGTCAGATGTGGCCCTATTTAGCTGCTAATATTTAAAACTGCCCTGTCTGTATCTCTCCAAAAGCCACTGCAAAACCAGCTGCAGGATGAAGATGTAGAGGAGGGGAAGGGGATTGGCAAAATTTGACAACAACAATATTTAATGTGTGCCTCTAAAATTGCAGTATTTTAGCACAAATTATCATTTGTAATTTCTGCAAGACTACAAACTAATTTAATTAAATACTCTTATAACACACCCTCCTTCACAGATGTTGTGTGCCTATATTGCAAAATACCTTTATTACTTGCAAGAAGGCATATTCTGTAACTTATATCAGCCTCACAGTTCAGGTTCTCAGGCTGAGAACTAAAGCCATTATTGCTGGTTAACTCATCAGTTAAAATAACAATCAAGGTGATTTAACCAATGATGCTATTAAAGAAAAAAAAAAATCCAACCCAAAATCCCTGGGGTTATTATTTTTCACCAGTAAAATTCATCTGCAATTTCTGCCAATACACTGATACTCCAAAGCAACTGCCAGGAGAAGTTACAGGTAGAAACACTCATGGAATAATCTGTCCTGAAGAGCAACAACTTCCCAAAGACAGGTTTTTCCATCAGACTTCCATGAAAAACACAACAGTGCAGCCTTTGTACACAGCCTCCAGCCTGAGATTTAGTAGCTGTGATTTTCATATCACTTAATCCCATCTAAACTCTAAAGAACAACCTTCTCAAAGGTATCCCACAACTCATTCACAAGGGTCATCTGTGTGATGATGAAAGAACTTCTTCCATATCCCCTAATCCACGTTTTAAAAACCCAAACGAACCACTGAAGTTTTAGTGACATTTTCAGCAAAAGAGAGAAAACAGTAATGCTAAAATTAAGGACAAAATCTCCTTGGTACTACTTTTGTCAAATAGTTAGCTTAGACAATAACTTGTACCAGAAAATAACTTGTACTAGAAAATAACTTGTGCCAGAAAATAACTTGTGCCAGGAAATGCATTTAAACTTCCAAACGTGCTTATTTATCACCTCGAACTTTCCCAGAGATGTTCATGCTTTGCAAGAAGAATAAAGATTAAACTCCACTCCCAAACACAGTCACGCTCAGATCTTCCCACCCTTTATGGTTCAGTATTTTACACATCACAAATCAATATTTTGTGAACCCAAAGGTTTCATTTTGGGTCCAGTTTCTTTCTGAACGTCGCGCGTTACCGTAACTGGGAATCCCTGACGGCAAAGCCAATTTGGGAGGGTCTAGATCTCTCTCTTACCCATCCAGAAGGTTCATTGTGCTGGTGGTAACCTCAGTGAAAAGCAGAATCTTGCCCAGCTTCTTGGTTTGAAGGTTCTGCTGATAGGTCTTCAGGCTGAAATGTTCCGAGGAGAAACTTCCCATCTCCGTGACCACCGGCATGAGGGACGGAGTCACCTCCGCTTCGGAGCCACAGGACGACACGAATTTAAGGGACACCTTGCTGGATGCCCTTAATCCTTCAGCATCTACATTCCCCTCCAGCCACTTGAGGAAAGCAAGGTGGATTTCCTGCGGGGGAGGGAAATAAAGTGAGAAATACGGATTTCCCCCCACGTGGAGACGTAGAAACATTTTTCCGAGAACGTTTTTATTCAAGTAATCGTTTCCTACTTCCAAACAGGAAAATTGACCCCATTTCAGCTTCAAAGATCAAGTTCTGCTGCTTGTTCTACTCCAGCCTGGCCTGACTACTTGGTGTTGTCCTCCTAGGCTTGAGATCATGCTCGTTTGCAGGTTAATTAAGCTTAATTTTTCCCTATAAGAGGGTTTGTAGTGGTTTTCCTGGAGCCTGGAGTGCACACATTCATCTGTATCATGCAGGTTTTTCAGCATGCTGAAATTCTTTGCTGGAAGAAGCCCTTCAGTCCATCACCAAAGCTGGATTTGAAGGATAAAGCAGCAGGTAAGAAAAGCATTTACTGACTCCTCAGCAGAACATCTGCTCAAATGGCTCACACCTGCAGCTAATGGATGATTTACTACAATTATTACCTGTGTAGTGGCACCCCAGAAACAAGTGTCACACATTCACAGAACTCCTTCTGGAGATAAATAATTCTACTTTGATAAATTTGATGTGAAATGTTTACCCTGTCTTTGGAAACTGTAAGTTTAAGAGCCCACAAACACAGACGCTGGGACTTCTCGTAGCCTAAATTTCAGAGAGCTGTCCTAGGGTCAAAGTTGTCCTTTACTGTGATAAATGAAACCATTTAAAAAAACCATGGTTTCAACTCCACTGAAAATAATTCACTAAGGATTCCTGCCCTCAAAATTTTAAGGGGAAAACCTGTGACTTTTAAATAAAAAAGCTCTAAGCAAACACATTCCCCTCCTTCCCATTTAGGGCCGTATCTGGGAACTGGAATATGAGCGTTCCCTCCGTGAGTGCTGAGGACACAACTGAGCTCTCCTGCCCCTGAATGAGATGTCTCAGAGCTCCAGTCCAACTCTTTCAAACCCACAAACCACAAGCTAAGAGCAAACTTCCTCCAAACAGTTATCTATCCAAGGAATGACTCCGATTTTCCACATCCCGCTGTTACACCTGAGGAAGGAATGAGAGAAGCAAGTCCTGCTCTTAACACCTTTCTACAGATTTTTCCACCCTCAGGAGCTGCATATTCTCAAATTTCACAGGGACACTGCTGCTTGTGGGATGTTCTTTGTGTGCTGAGTGTCAGCAGAGGGGCTGCTTTGCAGCACAAGTAGTGGAGAAGGATACAAAGAAAGGAAGGTTCTCTTCCCAAATTCCATCACTTCTAAGCCCCAGGACAACCTCAGAGTGACTCAGTAACTAAACTGTAATTACAGAGAAACTACTTCTCATTTCTTGGTTTTCTAAAGTTCCCTCTGAACTCTAACTTTTTAAATAAAATATGCTTTAAATATTTTCTTCCCTTCCCTTTTTTTGCATATACATCATAAATGATGGTGTGATAATAATTAAAGGTTTTGTGAGCATTTCTTTGACTTGATTTGCCTGAAGCACTTGTTCCTTCCCTCAGTGTAACACCAGAGCTTTGACAGACTGCTGACAAATTCTTCACACATTATCCTACTTGGTTCACATACACACAGCAACTTATTGGCTATAATATCCCATATTTAGAAAAATTACAGCTTTCATTTTTGTCAGGGAAAAACTAATCAGAAAATGCCTGCTTTTCAAATCCAGAAATTTTCTCAGCAGAAAATAATTTCTTAAAAGAGCAAATAATTTCTTAAAAGAGCAAAAGAGCATCTATTTATGTGTGATGTTACATTAGTACAAATATGCCACTTATGACTGCATATATGGTTGAAATTGTGTGGCATATTTGTACTTATATATATATATATACACACTTTACTATATTCTTTCAAGTGATCACTTTCAAGTGATTTTTCCTCATAGTTTTTAGTCTTACTTCTTGATTTAATTTTCTTGCTTCTAACACGTACTGAACCATTTAAGAATTGTTATATGTGTATAACTATCAAGTTAATTTTGTCCCCACAACGTCCACATGCTTACTGAGCTGAGCAAAAACACAAACACGAGGAATTCCTAATCAAGGACAGGGATTTTTAAAAATTGTTAAGAAAATAGGGGTTTACATTTTCAACAAGGCAAAGTTTCAAGTGCTGGTCAAATACACACTAGAAAAATTAATTTTTCCTGTAAGAACTTCCTTCACAACACGGATGGGCTGTGGTCCCCACAGTTATAGCGGCACACAGAAAAGTACATTATTACTCAATGAAATAAATTTATATAAGAAACAGGGTTAACCTCTGCTTCAACTCCACTGAAAAGGAATAAATTCGTGTCAGAACCTGTGTGATTTTTTTAAACTGAGGATTCAGTTGGAATTCCAAAACCTCTCCTACTCCAAACGGCATCCGCCGTTCTGCAGCAACCTCTGGTGGCCGCTCCAACGAGAAGTGTTGGGTCAGGAACCCTCTGGGACCAGCCCAGGTGTGCCCAGGCAGCCAACCCAAGGCAAGAAAACACCCTAATTCCTGTCCACTGCTTTCCCTGAAAATCCAGAATTATCTAAACCCTGAACAAGCTTTACATGATCGTGGAATCCAAGAAGCTGCAGCTCTTTTGTGTTCAAACACTGACAGTGAGTGCAGCTACTCACACACACAGTCCTATAAAGTCTGTGTTACCCACCCCATCGCTTTCACCCTTTGTAAATACAATAATTACACTTGTTTTAGGGTGGCACAAATACCTTCTGAAATTGTTATTCATCAGTTTGGGGTGGGAGAACTAAAGTCAAGCCAAATTTAATTTCACAGAATAACAGAATCACGGAATGGTTTGGGTTGGAAGGGACCTTGAAGATCATCTTTTTCCATCCCCCTGCCATGGGCAGGGCCACCTTCCACCAGCCCAGGTTGCTCCAAACCCCATCCAACCTGGCCTTGGACACTTTCAGGGATTCAGGGGCAGCCACAGCTTCTCTGGGCAACCTGTGCCAGGGCCTCTCCACCCTCCTAGAGAAGAATTTCTTCCCAATATCCCACCTAACCCTGCCCTCCTTCAGGTTAAGACCATTATTTCCTATAAAACTGTAGGGTTTTTTTTTTCAAACCACACTTTTTTCATGTACATTCCCAAAGGCAAAGACTTTCCCCTTCTTTCTCAAAGCAAGAAAATGAAATTTGACATGTCAACCAAACAACCTGGATACAGGAGAGTTAATCAGCTTCTCACAGCTAAAAATATTCAACCAGAAGTTTAATATTCACAATGAGAAAATGTCTCTACCCCTATTTGAAATGGTAAAAGCACAATGTAGTTTCAATAGCTTCACAGACACAGAAAATTAAGCCACTACCCACCCTCAGCTCCTCCAGCACAAATTGGTCAGTGTGGTAATTGTAACATAAAGAAGGAAGAGTAAAAGCTGTATTTTGTTTATGATTTAACATCTGCTTGCTGTGATTTTAAGAGCTTGGTCAGGTGTGTGAAGGAACTGCTCCAGAGCAGCAGAAGTTTTCTTTTGCTGTTTAAAATTCTTTTTAATTTCATAATCATTAGTTTCGCTTTTCCCTCACTTAGGGTTGAGATTGAACAAGGAGGAGAAAAGAGGGAGACATGGGAGACAAAACCCAGCTGCCTGTGAACCTTTCTCTGTTGTAGTATAAAATAACACCAAATTACAGCTCCTCATGGAGAAGATTTTATTTGCACCTGGGCTCTATCAAACAATGAGACTTATGCACCAAGCACACAAAATTCCAGTTATAATGGTGGAAAATAAGCCCAAACCCAAGACTTTATTCTTACAATCTGTTTGTATATATAGCATTTTGAGGTATTTTCTTATTTTTATCTGTATGTTCAGATCCACATAAAGATAAATGCAAAGATCTCTCTCACTGGGCATGTTTGGGAGCTGCTCTTTCCTACCAAACTCTGATGGGTCTTAAACTCTGTATCAATGGAATTCTTTGTTAAGACAAAATTCAGGCACAGCCTAAATTCATTTGGTTTCCATTAAAAACGTGGAGGCAAAACTAAATGAAAGCTAAAAATATAGTGCCATAAAACAAACATTAGACATCAGCTCTCCCCTTTCTTGGGAGGGAAAAGGAGACAGTTTTAACTACTCATGCTCTACTTGAAGACTCCATATTGTGATTATAAGGTAATACTTCACTTTAGCTGTGCTTGTTGAGTAAGTGAGGCCAAGTATGCACTTGCTGGGTACATATCTAGAACACAATTGAACAGCTTTTCTCCTTCCTTTGCATAAAATGTAATAATTTCCAATGAATTACCTCCAGTTTTGCTTCACTGTACCTGAGAAAAGTTTGCAGGTGATGCACTGGTTCATATATTACCAGTTGATGGACTGATTAAATCACATGGAAAATTAAATTCACATTAAATCCACATTAAAATATGGAAAAACACTAAAAGTAAATAAACATTTCACATCACCAAAAAAACCTTCCTGTAAATGTACAGGAGATGCAGGAAAAATGTGATGTTCTATACAATCCTTATTCATTTTGAACCCTACATGTCTATATTACCCTTTACTGAGGCTTTGTAAAACATTCTGTAAGTGTTAAATTTACTACAATCATTCATTGAAAGGCATTATTTTGTTTTAAAAGCAAGGGAGACCCAGTACAGTGTCTTTCTCCTCAGGAAAAGACTGTAGGAATGAGGAAAAAAAAACCACAAAAACTGGATAGATCAGATGAGGAAAGAAAATCATCTCTAGGTAATCACAGAGGAACTGAAAGAAGATGAAGAACAGATATTAGATATTACTACATATCTAATATCACAAAATTACAGATATTATAGATAAATATAATAGTTTCAATGCTGTTCAGATGTCATTAATATGTAATAACGTTGCCAAACTACACATTCACACCCTGAGCCCTGAATAATTCCTCTTCTAGACTTAAGTGTAAGCTTGAAGATGGATTTTGTAACAACTGAAACAACTAGAATAAACAGATCTTCTGACCACAAAACTTACTTACAGCACATT